TTTTGTAAAGTTTCTCTTGGTTTTACTGCTGGCAACTACAGAAACCATGCCACAAGTCTGGTGTAGAGTTATAGGGTGTGATTTTATTTGACTGGTGTCTTCAGAGCTTCTGGGTTTTTAAATATAACTGAGAATTTCCTTAAGAGCTGTAAATGAAAATAGGGACCAGTTCGAACTCTTTACTTGCCCAATTTTGTGCGAGGTTGGCTGGCTGCTGTTGCACGTTCCCCTGTTCCCCTGCCCTGTTCTCCTCCTGCACCCGCTAGGGTCCCTCCTCTGCCTGCCGGAATACCACTTCAGGGCGTTCGGTAGCCTTCCCAGGATGGGTCCTGGCCTAGGACCTCAAAACTATTTTTAACTGAGAATACCTTTCATTGGGCAGCTTAGGAAACGCGACTGGGACTTTTAGTAAGGGCCCCTGACGGCTCTGAACTTGAGTCAGGGGACATGGGTTTGAATCCCCAGCCAGCCGTTTATCTTGTGGTCTTGGGCACACTGTGTCCGCTATATAAAATAAGCCCCTGTCTTCATCTGTCTCCGAGGGCTGCGAGGATTCAATGACTGCACGCAAAGCGCACATTCACGGTCAGGTCACTTCTGGCGTCCGGCTCTGGTCCCCGCAGGGTGTCCGCAGGCGGAGCGCATCCTCCGGCAGGGGGCGAGCTCCGCACCCCGCTTTCCTCACCGGCTGGCACGGCCCGCTGTTCAGGTGGGGAGCCCAGAGGGGCTCCGCGCCGGGGGCGGGAGGCGGTTGGCGCACACAGGACCGGACTCCGGCCGGGCGCACCCCCACACGCGCCCTAGCAGGCCCCGGGTCGGAGTCCGGGCCTCGAGCCAGCCGGGGGCGGAGTCTGAGCGCGGCGCTCCGGGCCCAGAACGCCGAGACAATGCGGCGCGCGGCGGCCAGGAGCGGCTCGGCGAGCCGGGGCGCGCGCCGTCTTCCTTCCTGCGGGCTCCGCTTCCCGGCGGCGCGGCGACGGCGAGCGCGCCGATTGGCGGCCCGGTCCTCCTGCCGCCCCGCCCCGCGCCCGGCCGGCCGCCGCCCCCGGCCCGGACCCGCCCCTCTCCGCGGGAGGCGTCGGGGCCCGCGGCTGGGTGGCGGGCAGTTCCCGCCGGCTCTGCGCGCCCGCCTCTGGGCTCGCTCTGAGAGGACGCGGCGGCGGCGGACGCGGAGCCCTCGGCGCGCAGGCGGGCGGGCCGGCCGAGCTGCGCGGGGCTGCGCGCCGACCCTGCTCCGCCGCCAGGCCCCGCGCGGCTCCCGCGCCCGGCGCTCCCCTTTGTCCGCGGGCCGGAGCGGCGGCGGCGGCGGCGTAGTCCGAGTGGCGGTTGGAGCCAGTGGCTGCGGCTGAGGCAGCGGCGCCCCGGCGGCCGTGCGCCCGCGCGCCGAGGCGATGCCGGACCAGATCTCCGTGTCGGAATTCGTGGCCGAGACCCATGAGGACTACAAGGCGCCCACGGCCTCCAGCTTCACCACCCGCACGGCGCAGTGCCGGAACACCGTGGCGGCCATCGAGGAGGTGAGGCGGCCTGCGCGGCGGCTCCGGCCGCAGGTATCCCGCTCCCCGGCCCCGCCCGCGGCTCCCGCATCCGCATCCCCGGAAAACTTTCTTTGCTCCGAAGCCGGACGCGGCCCGGCCAACCCTGCCCGAGATAAGGGCCCTTTGTTCCCGCCTAGGTGGCTTGGAGGAGATGGGTGATGGCCACCTTGGGCCTCTTTAAGACCTCCCCTCTCTCGGCCTCGTGGCCCTCGCGGGGTTCCCCCGCCTGGTCCCTTCCCCGCAGCGCGGCCAACTTTGGCCTTAGCGTCGAGGTCGGCGGCCAGCGGGAGATCCCGCAGCCCGCCGCCTCCTCCCGGGGTCTTTGGTCCCCGGCGCGGACCTTACCAACTTGTTCATGAAGTGGCCCGGCGGGGGCAGCTCTGCGCTTGGAGCTCCCCGCCGCAGACCCCGAGCCCCGCAGGGCCCCCACCTTCGGGTCCGGGGGATCCCGGGCTTCCCGGGAAGGCGTGCCCGCCTCCGCCTGGGCGGCCTGGCCAAGCTCCACCCGTGCCCGGAGAACGAACTGCGGGCTAGGTGTGTGTGAGTCGGCGCTTCTGGGTCCAAGAGGCCTCCAGGAGCCGCTCCCCGGTTACCTGGGCCTCACCTGCCTGAACCCGGAATGCCGCCGTTCCCCGGCATCCTGGAAAAGGCCTGATTTTAGCGAAGTGCTTTCAAGGTGCAAAGTCATTGCGCCTGTCTGCTAACCAGCACGCTCTCCAAGTCCTGGGCAGAGGAACACGTAGGAACGTAGAAGCTTGGATGAAAATTAAAGCCGCGGGGAAAGGGGCAGAGTCTGTGAGTCCAGGGGTCCCTGTCGGCTGTGGTTTGAGTCACATCCTCACCTTCCAGTCCTTTTCCTTACCTACCAAACGGGATTAGTAATGCATCCTTTCCAGGATCAGAAACTGTGTGAAGTGCTTAGCACTCTGCTCGGCTCAGAATAGGTTTACAAGCCACACGTGTGGTAATAGTGAGTCCATGATTAAATGTCTCGGCCAGAATGTCAGGTTACAGTTTTAAAATTGGGCTTTGCAGGTATTTTAGCAGAAAATGCCTTGGCTAGCAGAAGTGAGGGGAGGTCACCAAAGCGCTTTAAATGAAGCAATGGCTTTAATTTTTTTTCCTTTTACCCATTTGAACAAAGCATCTGTTGTTAGGAATTGCTTGAAAAAAGAAATACAGAATGTTTTCCCTTAATGGAAAATTTTTTTCTTTGTAGATGTAAACAGTCAATAAAAGGGAATCAAAAGTAACAGATTCAGCACTCTGAATGCTGTTAGTATAGCTTGGGTAGCCTTCCTTCTCTCCATTTAATTTGGCAGAAGAGAGCTGCATGTAAACCTTTCCTGTGAGTTCGGTGATTCCCCAGATCACTTAATTCTACTTTTAGCAGCCAGGCTTAGAAATGATGCCTTCAGATGAGGCAGATGGGGATGGGTGAATGAAGTTTTTTGTTTTTTTTTTTCTAGAGTGCCAGTAAAAAGCACAATGTTTTGAAAATACACCGTTAATAATGTTTATGGAATGATTATAACCAAAAAGGTAGCTGAATATTTCTTAAGGGAAGGAACCATTGTGCATGATGTCTTTCTTTAAAAAGCTTGATTATGTTTAAAGTTCTGTTGCTTTTCCCCACTGCAGTTTGTCAGTTAAATATTATTAACACTGGCAGATGTTGGAAAGCCAGGCAAATCGGAATTGCTATTAAAATTGGCATACCCTTTCTCTGATTAATTTTAGTTTACAGTGTGTAATTCCAAAGCTCTTTTTGTATGCTGTGCAGATTACCCTAGAGCTCCGTTACTGAGCAGATTACAAAGAGACTGGATTTGGTCATTTCATTAAATTGCAAGCTTGCTTCTTGCCGTTTAAGCCCAAGAATTGGTTGAAGTCTCAAAATGGAAAAATTAAGATCATTTCAGGTTTATTTCACTTTAAGCAAATCAACATACATGCTATGATGATGGTGTGTGTGAGCTTGGTTTTATAACTAAATTTGAAAGTTGTTCCCTTTCTGAGGTAAATCAATGTGGATTTCTTTAAATAATGCTCTTTTCTAGGGTGTCTAATGTTCCTTTCTATTACCGAAACTTGTTCTATGTGTGGTTTAATAGCATGATAGCTACAGTATTTTGGTTTTAAACAGAAATCTACTTCTCATACTGAGATGAAATGTGAAGGTATCATGACACAAAGTTACTCATTTAACAAACGTTTGCAAGCTCTTGGTCTTATGTTTAAACGAATGAATCACGGAATTAGCAAACTTATTTTATTTTTATTTATTTATTTATTTTTGAGATGGAGTTTTGTTCTTGTTGCCTACACTGGAGTGCAATGGCACAGTCTTGGCTCACTGCAAACTCCGCCTCCCAGGTTCAAGTGATTCTCCTGCCTCAGTCTCCCAAATAGCCAGAATTACAGGCATGCACCACCAAGCCCTGCTAATTTTTTTGCATTAGCGGGGGTGCCCGGGGGGGGGTGGGGGTGAGTTGAGGGTGGGGGTGGGGGTGGCAGGGAAGAGGTTCATCCTGTTGGTCAGGCTGGTCTGCCTCAGCCTCCCAAAGTGCTGGGATTAAGGTGTGAGCCACCGCGCCCAGCCAGCAAACTAATTTTACACTGATTAACCTTTTTGAACCTTTTATTTCCAATGTAGGTTATATCTGCCAAAAAATCATTTTACAATTAAAATGTACTGTTTGGATTTGCATACTTGTTGCCGGGATATTATTATAGTAACTGTCAGGTCCTTATTCTATACTATGAAACTCACAGGTGTTGCATTCAGTCCTTATCCCTGCCTTATAGGTGAGGAAAGTGAGGCTCAGAGAGGTTAAGGAACTTGCTAAAGGTTATAGAGCTGGGAAGTGGACTTTGAACTTGGCTCCTGCTGTTTTCAGCAACCATGTTGCTTTCTGTTACTTTTCATGATGCTGAATTCTCTAAATTACTCTTTTTTTTTTTTTTTTTTTTTTTTTT